CTTGGGCTGCTGAGAAACCTTGAGTGAGTGTTGACCCTACCAGATGAGTTAGGCCTGGTGCCTCTCCCACCGCACACATGGATACAGTTATACCATGAGAAAGTTTGAACTGATTTGGGCCGATCTTGCGTACTTTTGCCAATGGTAAGGCACAGTAAGCCTGTATCATCCTTTTCCACTCAACTGGTTAGCTGAAAAAGCAAATGAACGAACATCCCCCGCACCACTGTCCTCCCAAACCCACACCATGAGTTTGTGAAGCAGACACTACGCTATTGCCTTTGTAAATGTTGACTGAAGTTACTGCATGTCTCTTCACAAGTATGTGCCTTTGTCAGGGAGAACCAGGAAGAAACTGAATTGGAAGGTGATTCATGAAAAAAATGTTGCCGCAACTGAACTTCACAGCAGAAACATCTTCTGCTCAGATGTGTCTCAGCCAGATTCTCTTTCTTTTTCTCAAGGGTGACTCAGTGACTATTTCTGTTTCAAGGCATGTCATTATAATAACAGCTTACGTTCTGAGACCTTGACTTGACAATCTGCAGTAAGCCACATTGACCCAACGATGCATTTACTAGCGAGTGCCCTTCCCCTTCTGAGAAAGCAGAAGGCACGTTGCTAAGGCTTCCTCACTGTTTATAGGATCAATCCTCATTGCTACAATATATTTTTGCCTTTTTTTTTTTTTTTTAATACTGCTTGGCACTGTCTTTCCCTCTGCTTTTACACTTTCCTCTCTAACTATGCATAGCAGCTACGAAGCCATGGCTGTGGTGCAACCTCAACATGCACACGGACAAAGATGCTGTGTGCCCAGTAAAGGGGAGCAGGAGCGAAGGGTAGTGTCTGCCCCGTCCCACTTCTCCATCACTGAGCTTCAGGTGGTAGCACCAGCACATAGGAACAGGAAACCCACACTTCCGTCTGTCTTCCAGCACAGCCGTGTCCTTCTCCCGATGCTCTCATCAGCAGAAAGAGTGCAGCGCCAAGAGCTTGTCAAGAGGGAAGTGATTTCTGAGTGCTTTATTGAGAGACAAACTTGCACAATTAGGAGTAAATTCTCTGTTAGTTTAGATGGAGATTTGACCACTGTTTTCCTGCTTACAAGAGGCTGGGAAGTGGCCTATGAAGTTAGGTCATCTCTTAATTTCAAGAAGTCTTTTTCCTTGGTGAAGTCTCTTGGAAGGTCCTTTACTGTTCATGTAATAAGATGTGGTGCTAATGACTTGAATGATACACGTTCTAAAAGCAGTGAAATGCAAGAAGCCAAAACTACCTTAACAAATCCAGTTCATTTAACTAAAAGAGGCAGACTGAGCAGCAGGTGGAAGGGTTAAACAAAAGGAAAAAAGATTATAAAAGTTTGCGGCTTTGGCTTCACTACAAATGGCTCTCTTGCAGACTTTATAGCATTAGTGTTGCTTCTCATAAACCTTGAAACCATTCATCCATTTAGAAAGATTAAATTGGTTAGTCATCCAGAACATAAAATATACACATTCATTTTGTCTGTTACCCTAAACCATCTGAGGTATAATAAATGCAGTTGATGCCATTAAACCAAAGCATTGAGTATTAATGATGGACTCAGTTGTGGTATTTACAGTTTGCCAGCTCTTGTGTTTCTGATAGTATATTCATCTGTTGTTGCTCAGGGACAGTAAGAGCAGTCTTTGAGTTGGAAAACACAGCTATAATATATGATGTGAGGGGCTCAGAGAAAACATCTTGATATTAAAGCAGGGGAAATCCTAGAAATGTTACTTTTTTGTTATTCTTAGAAGGTCAAAGTTAAGGGGCACAAACTTCACTTACGATTTCTTAATATATTTATAATGGTCTATTAAACAGTTTGCAAAGACAGTTTTGTTTGGTTTTCTAGTTACAGATGAAGGTATGGCTATTTAAAGTTTTGTTCTGTCACTTAAGCTAGACAAAAATGCCCAGACTCTTCTAAAACAAGAATTTGTAGAGGCACTTGGTCAGGAAGCAGGTTCATCATTAAAAGTGTAATAAAAAATATAGATTTGATTTAGCAGCATTTTTTTCTTGATTAATATCAGGATTTTAGAAGTAGTACTCTTTCCAGAATTAAGCAAGTTTGCAGTGGTTGCTTCAGCATGCAAAGACATTTAATAAGCTGCTTTGAAATATGTAAGACATTATCTTAAATGCAGGGATTTCCAGTGTGCTGGAAAAAACGTTTGCATGGTTTTTAATTACTGCATATAGTGCCTTTAATCAGAGCATCCAGCTTGACAGCATTAAAACTGGGAAACAAATCTTACCCGAGTTTCCAGTTCCAAGCTGAAAATGCCAGCTTATTTCCATAGAAAACAGGAATTGATGTCACGTATCGGCTATCATTCAAAGCAAAGCAGATTGCCAGCTATTCTTAAGCATATGCTTGAGTACCAGCAACTTCTGTGGACCCCAAGGAGGTACTCAAAGTGAAATATGCACTCGCAAACGTTCCTGACTCAAGTCTATCTGCAATGAGCACAAAGGCACTCCTCCCTGTCGCTCCTCACAGTTGCAGCCTCAGCCAGAGGCTGCTCAGGAAGATAAGAGTTCTTCCAGTGGGTCTAGCAGATTCTGCATCAGATGCTGTACTTAGGTTTAGTTTGCATTTTTGCTTCTGAAACATTTCTGGTGGCAAAAATGTGACAAGCCTCCCCCCACACCCTCAACATTTGTCTTTTACTGCAAATACAAATCGCAAAACTACCAGGAGTGAGAGAGGTGATCTGAAAGAGGCAGAACCTCATAAATTCTTTGTGTGGGAAAGGCTGTCTTTCCTTTTCTCTAACTGATGGCATGCCAAGTTTATTTTACAGTATTTACAGTAAGATTTGTTTGTTTTGATACCCTTTGTATGTTGCTAGGGAAAAGGCAAAAGAAAATCTCCAGGAAGTTTATAGTTTCTGATGAGATGGAGTTTAGGCTTTAATTTTCTTTCTAGTCCTATACATTTTACTAGAAGCGTAATATATAAAGGGATATGAGATTGCAATTGGATGAGTTATTACTGAGCTGTCACTTATTTTCTCTGTATGAATTTGGTGCTTAAGAAAGACCTCAGACCAGCAGGCTAAGAAAGTGAAATTGTTAGTTTTGAGAGCAGATACAGGTCGTGCAGGAACAACCCTGGTTTGTCCTTTCGGTGTCTCATCTCTGACCTTGGCACATCACTTCAGGAGCAGGAAGAACGTGCAGTCTCTGCCTGTTTAGTTGAGGTCCGGACATATGGCAAGGACAACAAATTTATCCATGATGGAGCAGTCTCCGGTGTGGTTGTACAGGCAGCAGATTGTCTGCGCAAGGGTTAACGTGCCTGCCAGCTCAGTGAGAGGTAGTCTATTAAATCACAAGATGCGGGAAAGGGAATGACTATCGCCCATCTCTTCCAACACAAGAACTAGAGGGTATCAGGTGGTATCAGGTCTACCAGGCACCTTCCAAAGTAACTGGAAGAGACGACCATTGGTGGCTGCCAATCCCACAGGAAACTGCTGGAGGTGGAAAAAGTTTCTTAGGTGCCTGCTTTGATCTCATTTCTGTTCTCACTCACCGCTTAGGCAGAAGGAAGCATTTACTTGATTTACAGCGTCTTTCCCTTGAGCATCCTACCCTGAGTCTGCAGAGCAGTTGGTATGGAAAGTCCTTCCAGGGAGACAGGTACAGCTCTTGTAAGCTTCTTGAACTGAAAGGGAAATAGAGGTGTTTGGTTTTAATGCCAAAGCCTCGATTGTTTGAACTGAACTTCTGAAGACATTGTAGGGTCTTGGGTTACGGCAGGAGCTGAGAAATAAGAGACTAATGGTATATTTTATGTGCCATGACAAATAGCACAAAGTTGTCTTACCCCTCCCTATCCGTTGCTGTGAAATACTGGGTAGACACAATGTCTTTTCTCTGTATGGTGGAAACATTCGTTAGCAAGTGCTGTGTTTGACTGGCTGGGGATGAAGCATGATTGCCAAACGTTAAAAGCTGTTCTCTATAGCTGGGAAGTAATTTTCATAAGGGCAGACTGTCTCACTGACTCCCTTTCAGTGCTACTAATGGAGCAGGCATCACCTCCTCCCTGGCAATTCCCTCTAGCAGGATGGTACACCCAAGATGTATATGATAGCTGTATAGACATGGTCTCCCCCTTGCAAATGTCGACATGATGTTTACACCATCAAGCAGGGAAGAATAGTTTAGGGTCAGTAAGCCTCTTGAAACAAAGTTCATACCAGGAGATGCTGGCATAAGTAGTCACTGTTTAGTTTATACCCATTAGAAGCAGGCAGCCTCACAACTCCTATGTTTAGGTAAGTGTATTCATCATATTTAGCCTTTATACAATATTCATCTTCTCTGCACTTCGTAATTGTTAATTAATCCCACAGCACCTAGGGATTACTAGTAACGCTTTACAAGGGAAAGTGGAAACAAGCAAGAGGAGGTCAAATGTCTGGGCTGAGGTCACAGAAGAAATTTTGTCTGAAGAACATTAGGTTCTGTGAGATTTGAAGTGTTGTTAACTGGTCTCTCCTTGGATGTCAGTATCCATTTTGGGGGCAGGGGCTGTTTCTGGGGGACAGTTTTGATATTGGCTAGTGTTCTTAGAGCTCCCTTTCATTTGTTCCATTTAGCACCTTTTTTTTTTGTTTTGTTTTGGCTGAGGCAAATGGAGGACAGAGGAGTTTTATCTTCAGAGGATGTTGGGGAATTTCCAAGACAGGAGAAAGAATGTCTTGTGTTCTGAAATTTATGCACCATCTTTTCATTTTGCAATTATAAGTGGGGGCACCTGACTAAAATTGGTTATTTTTTAAAAATCATTGCAAAGATCCAGATACCCAGTTCACTTTAAAAATAAAAGACTTGCTTGTCTGGTCCCTGTAGGCCTTCTTGAAAGGTCTGCACTGATAATCACAATCCAGTAACTTACCTGACAGTAAATACTGTAAGTATAGAATATGCTCACGGTGCTTTCTTCTCCCTAGGACTTGAAAGATGACCGGAGCGATGAAGAGGAGGAGGATTCTGTTACAGATAATGAAGAGGAGTCCACAAAGAATGGCAACAAGAACGGCTGTGGGTCAAGCAAACATCTCCTAACCTGCAGTCACCACTAGCCCCCTCGCGCCTCACCCCCTGCAGTGATTTCTGCTCTGGTTTTAACCCAACCTACAGGATAGAATTTAAGTCAAAAGGCTTATGAGAGACTGTGATCGATTTATTGTTGGCTACTGGGCCTGGAAAAAAGCCCTGTTTAGAGGGTAGGAAAAAATTGCATAACATGACAAAATGTCTTAATGACCCACTTTCTGAATCGTTACTAAGTGTTTGGATGCGCTCACTGACAGTCCTCAGCAAGGTCAAAGCTCAAGAGCATCAGATCATTTAGTGTCTCATTGATTCTAACATTTTTCAGTCTGATATAAGATATGTTTCACCAAGCTGTTTAATTCACAGATGTTTTGTGGTAGGTAGAGAGTGTGAACTCCGTTAGGAACCAAAATTACTCACTGTGGGGAAAAATGTGACAGTGGTGTACAGTGACTAGCATTTTAGTCTTTACTTTTCAGTTTAAACCCTCATCAAAATGTCTATTTTTTGTGAGTTAGACTTCATTTCCTGGAGGCCAGTGGAAGCTAACATGGAGGAAGTCAAATTATTTGCCTGTGAAGAGCTGGCTTCGCTGCAGAAGTATAGTCTTTCTCCGAACTGTGCTGTATGATAGATAGCTCAAATATTGTGTTCTAAGATTTACCTGTCAAGAAAGTTACTGTTGAAATAGCAAAACTTGGCCCCGATTCCCTGTTGAGCTCCAGGTTTCATAAACATCTTTCATCTCAATCACTGGCCCAGTGTTAGAACAGAAGGTGCAGTGGGGAGGGAAGATAGCGAATGAAAATTGGGTCTTTCCACAGGTTCTTTTGCAGTTCTTATTTGTCTTCAAAACTGCTGAACACCCCTTGCTCCTGAGACATCTACAGCCCAGATGATTTATTTTTAATCTCATCCATTCCCTTCTTGTGAGCTTGTCTTGCACAGTGGTGTTGGATTACTGTCTTCTCAGGAGCGAGTCTGCTAAATTCTGTTTTGTGGTTCCTGTGTATCCCCTGCACGTATCTGGGCATTGGGGGAGCTTGGGACGAGCAAGGAATGTCACATCGTTGGTGCTGGGTATTCATTTCATAGCAGGATCTGCATGTTCTTCTTGAAAATCATGAATCACATTGGGTGCAGCCAAACTTGGATATGACTTAGGCCACATACCGTTGTTTATGCTGTAAGAAGTGGAGGAACAGTGGATGTTTTATCAGCTCCTCTTACCAAAAGTGCCTCTATCGTAAGTTTGCACTTTTGTTCGAAGGCTAGTGCAGAGTGCAGCAGCACTTTTAGTCCCACGGCTTTCCAAGGAGAGCCTGGGCCTTTTAAACAGGGTGGTACCAGTCTCATTTCCAGATGCGTTTAGCTCACAAGGTCATAAATGTTTCGTGTCGTAAGTTTTAGAGGTGAGAGGCTCTCCATGTGGTTCTACAGTAGCTGAGATAATTTGGTAAACTAAATCCAGTACCTTGGTAGAGACCAGGGGGACCATTGCTAAAACACCCTCAGTGCAGAGCTTTTGGGTTGGAAAAGCTCTTTTCCCCTTACGGCAGCTCAGGCATGATCTTGGTGACCTACGGGAAGTGCTGTATGACTGACTTGTTTTCTCAAGATTTCCTTGGCAAAGGGGAATGTAATTCAGCGACTGAAGCATTTGAAAGAATGGGAAATGTTTTTGGATCTCAGATATGAAGAATGAAGTGTTTTCTGTGCAGTTACAAGAAACTGTAGGAGTACTTTGTTATAGAGACTGGTAGTGTGAAAATACCTACGTATCGCCTGTTGAACTAGGCTGTGTTTAATTTTTACTTGTATTTTGGACCATGTAATATCCTAAATGCTTGTGTTTTACCACAAAGAGAATTACACCAAGAAAGGAGAATGGCCTACAGCTTCTCAGAGGGACGGGAAATGTGCAGTAGCGGGATGGGACTCCTGAACCAGTGCTTGTAGTTCAGTGGTGCCGCTCAGGCTGAGCAGGCAGAATTCCCTCAGTAGCTGTTGTATAGCAGCATGTGTCCTTACATAGCTGTGAAGAATACCTTAAATACTGCAGTGTGGATTTATTGGATGTGTAAGTACTTATTACATCATCTAAAGCAACTGGTGAGTTTGGCAAGATCACAGTTGCTTATTGGGACCTGTTTATTGCCTACACAAAAAGAAGTGTCCTTTCCTAACAAAATGGAGAAACCCGACGTCTTGGAGGCTTTACGTTCCCTTTGAGAGCAGTGGAGACAACGATGCTTTCTACCAGACGTAACGGGGGTTTGGGAGATGGCCAGGGTATTATCATTTGATTTTGGTGCCAGAAAGTTTTCCTGCTATGACTAGGAAGGGAATTCAGGGAAAGAAACACGAAGAATAATGTTGTCACAGGAGTGAGCCTCTGAACAACTACTGAGTTTTAAACTGGAATTTATAGTCTCGTTGAGGCCAAATCTTGCCCTTCCTACTCAGACAAGTCTCCCACTGAAGCCAATTAACTCTATTAGAGTTTTGCTAAGGAAAAATTTTGCATTGCAGTATCCAACCTAATTGCAAGACCTGTTGTTTTAAGTTGATGTGAAACTAGGGTCTTAAAGGAAGAGTAAAAGGCAGATAAATAGATTCAAACATAAAATGTTGAGGCAAATTTTGGGTGAGTACAGAGGAATACAGAAAATAATGTCCTGAAGGTGAAGATTCAGTCTAAGTACAGAAAACAGCCAAATAACTACATCACACTGCAGTTAGGGGTACGGAAGGTAGCAAGCTCACAGAAGGCCATTCAAGGGGGTTACTGTCACGGCCAACCAAAGCGATGACCCCTAAAAATTCTGCCCATAAACCACTAGATAACTGAGGATAAGCACCCACAGCACAGAAAGGAGTGGGAATGGGGTGTCACAGTGGGACTGGCCACGTGTGCTGTGGTAACATCAGGTTTGTCATTCCTGAAGTCACGCGTTTCATTTTCTACTTTTTACTGACAGAAACTCAGAAACAAGAAGCCGAGGTCATGGGGAACACGATTCATGTTAAAGAAATTCATATCATGGTGCTTCAAGATTTTCAGTCTATTCAATGACCGTCACATTTTTTTAATGTTGTCCTGAGAAGAGTCTCAAAATGCAAGTGCAGAACAACCGTAGGCAGTGTGTATGAGCACAGATGACAGACTCTACTGCATTATTTTGACCATTTCACAAAATGGGCCCTGGTTTAACGCTTAGACACTGTGCATCTGGTTTTGCTGTGTCACTTTGACCATGCCAAAATATTTGTGATAGAATTCTACACGGAAAATGGAATCTTAGTCCATTAAACTCAGCGGAAACTCTTCTGTTCCATTTAATTCCTCTGAATTTTGCTCAGGTCCTCCTGTCTGTGTATACCGTGCTGCCTCTGTACTTGTTCACTACATACATTTAACAATCTACTCTGGATTTGATTTACAGATCTCCCTTAACTCCACAGAACTCATTTTGTCAATTTGCATTATTCTGTATAATTATCTTGTTGTTGTTGTTGTTCTTAACGCCACTGAATTTGTCTGGTTGGTTATGCTACACACTATAAATAACTATTTTTTAAAAACAGGTATCTGTGTAAGGATTTCCTTGTTTTCCCCACCTTGCAGAGTCCTCCACTCTGCTCTCCATTCCCTCCCAGCTTTCCAGTGAGGACTTGTTCAGGAACTAATTCCTTCCCAAGTTTTTCCGTTACCTGGAAGAGGCTGGGTGACTCACACCTTTCTTAAGAGGTAACAGCGATTGCTGGAAATGACCTTTTTTTTTTCCTGGGCAATTCATGAATGGAAAGGAAACAAAATTAATGGGTGCATCATCCATCATTTGTATTATTCAAGATTGATGTTTTGACTAAAGGACTTGAAAGTGTCCCTGCGTACACTGGGAACTGCTCACTCCAATGCCAACGCATTTATGTATCTTTACTCAGTTGTTGTTGTGCATATTGGGACTGCTTATGAAGTTAGGTGTATTTGAGGAATGTTAGAATAATGTACAAACACAGAGATAATTCTTTTTTTTCCCAGGAGCGCTTATGTTTATACACAGACTGAGGAGCTATCGCCCAGTTAGATTGCCGTGGGGTTGCTACCTCAATCGTTCATCATAAGTGCACTGGAGACAACTCGGACATGGATCTTAAGCTGGAAAAAGCAGGAAAGCTCTGCTGAAAACAGGGGAGCTGTGCTGGTTTGTATCAGCTGAAAAGCGAAAAGCTGTTCCGTATTTCTCATTCTTTCCCTTTCTGCCTCCCTGGTCAGGAAGATCACAGAGGTTCTGACTTACCATCTCTTCCCATGGGCAAACAAACCTGTGGGAAGGTGTTTCAGCCCAAATAATGAACTGTGGCAGGATACTTTGGTTTTATTATCTGAATTCATTTTTTTAAGCTTATGAGTAAGAAAAAAGTAGATGGAAAACAAATCGAACAGGGATGCGTGAGTTTTGGCTACAAACAACTTGCAAACTGTGAATAAAAAAAAAAAAAATCTTGCTGATTTAGAAAGAAAAACACCACCTCCACAGGCACTTCCCGCAGCTGTGGGTTTGAAGAACAACAGATAACCAGTGGGCAGAAATGAATGTCCATGCTGAGAACAAGAACACAGCCCAGTTGTGAAAAAGCCACAGGGTTGGTTCGATGGCCGTTGGCTGCCCACGAGCTGGGAGCTTTTCTGTGTGGAGCAGCGATGGAGCCAAGAACGTACCTCTGAGCTGATTTCATTGGTCATGTCCAAAATCACTGGAAATGCCTGTTCCTGCTTCCCAGTCAATTTTATGGGCTCCTTCCTGCCCTGTCGGGGCCACACGGAACCGGGGATTGTTTCTTGCCTATGGAGTTTGAGCTTTGGCTGCCCAAGGTGTGCACCTAATAGTGAGGTAGATGAACACCTCCGATTTGTCGAAGGTCACACGGGACATCTGTATTCCCACTGAGTGTGATTTCTCCTTATGAAAGTTAGGAAATCTACCTGATGCCGATGCTTTAGGGAGTAACCAATATGTGTCAGACAGCAAGGTGGCACTGTGAGTGACCAGGAGCGTAGAGAGGGAGCTGGCCTTTCCAGAGCAGGGCTTTGGGAATCAGGAGGAGAAAGGTCAGCAGAGGGCTTGGCCAACTCATCACACAGGTCTTACAGGTGTAGGTGTGAAAGACTTGTTTAAAGGTTGCTTTCTCCAACTCTTTAGTGAGGAGCATTTTCTCTCGCTCTTGTCTCCATA